GAAGGGGTGGGGCCGAGCCGTGGCTCTGTGTGTAAATGGACATGCAGAGCAGTGGTTCAGGAGTGAGTCTGTTTGGGTGCCCCCATAGCAAGCTGATTGCTCTGGGGCACGTGGCAGGAGGAAGGGGCCAGGAGAAACCCAAGAAGAGGATGATCGGGACTGCACTGTGCAAAAACACTGCACAGAACAGGTAAGTATGACATCTTTGTTATATTTTTTTGTAATTGCCCTTAATATTACTTTAAAACCTAGAAACTGATTGGTTTCTATGCATAGCAGCGCCAGATTATGCACTCTTCGGTTTTAGTAAATCAACCCCCTGTATTTGTTTGATTGTAACTGTATTAAAGGGAATATGTTAGGATGAAAATCTAGGAACTTCTATTGTTTGTGTATATGCAGACTCTAGTGTGGTCATTTTCATCCCTGCTTTACTGTCTGGAGTCACTAACCTGAAAAAAACATGATACCAGTTGTTGAGTCACAGTGTATTAATGCAAAGAGCGGTGCAAATGTCAACATGTCAGTGCCCACCCTCTGCATCATCCAGGACTCCCTGCTGGGAGATAATTGATGAGGAAGAGAACCTAACTTGTCACTTGACCAGTCAGAAGACATCAGCAACAGATTTTAAGAACCACACACGTCTTTAAAAGAGGGCTAAAGAATTGGGGGGGGGGGGGGGTCTGCGGCAGGTATGCGTTTTTGAGTTTTTATATACAGTTTCTGCATTGTAGAATCTCAGCTCTACTCTTGCTCCCCTGCTTGGCATCATTTAAATACTGTCTGGATGCCAGGCTACTTGTTAGCTTTTCATAGGTTGTAAAGTCTTATTTATTTTTAGGTAGGTATTTTGAATTGACACTCTGTTACTACCAGCAAAAATGGCATACTGTCTAAATTTTCCAAGTCAAATCAACAATGCTGATGGGATTATAATTTATTATATGTTTAAAAACTATGAAATATATATATGTATACGCTAGTAGCACTTCATCTATTTATAGTAAAGATTTCTGAACTGTTTTCAAAGCCATCTTAAATCAACCAGTAAGTTCTGTCACATGTTTATGTTGTATCATCTAGTCTATTTCGCAGGTCAGGGATAGCTATTGCAGCCCACAAACAAGTTGAGTGCTTCCTTAACAGAATTGTTATGAACTGTATTACTGTCTCATAAAAGGAGAAAGTCTTAAGAGTATGCTTATGGCCTGCTTTTCACTGCTACAATTCATTGTGAGCAATAGCGGAATATGTTAAAGCTTTATAGTTAATGACAAGTCTACTTTGTTGCTTCGGATTGTGAATATGACATTGTTTTTACTCAAAGCTTCCTCCTCGGCCCTTGTGTTTCAGAAAAGGATTTGTATGTGTTTGTATGTATTTATCTGTCCATTTTTTTTAAATAGAAAGATTATGTAGTCTAAAAGTGCATTGCATATATGACTGATGAGCTTAAAGTGTTACTAAACCCAGGCCCCTGCATTCACTATATCTGATCTCCCACAGTACACAGAACATGGAAATGTAATTATTTTAGTATATATAAGCTGCTAAATATATGTTCTCATCAGCAGTTACAGAGGTCTTGTGACTTCAGCAGAGCACTGCTTAAAGCTTGTAGGAGGAGTTTTCTTTCTGCTCTAGGAGGATGCAAAACCCCTGACCTCTGTCTGGACAGTGCTGATTGGCCCTGTGCTGATCACAAGCACTCTCCCAAGAAAAAAAAAACAACCTCTCTAGCAATACACACTAAACTGAGCATGTGCATGTGGCTACGGGTTCAATCTGTATCAGATGGACATTTGAACAAGAGGAGGGGCAGAGAAAACAGGATCAAATGGCCTTTTTACACAATGCAGAGGATTAACCCCTTAGGTTCCACAGTGAGTATAACAAACATGCTTTACTTCATATACAGACTGATTTACACTTTAAATCAACTGGTTCTATCCACAGTTGAAATACAGGTTAAAGGGGCTCAAGCATTACTGAGTGGAGTAGGGAGTATGTCGGATCATTGGAGGTCCTAACTGTGGTGCTTAAAGTTTCATTAAACCCAAACATTTTAAAGTGTCTATGTCTTTAAAAGGTATTATCAGTACTTTGTAGCAAAAGCTTTTCATCAATCAATTTAGCATAATTGGTAACTACGCAGCTGATTCTGACATTCCATGGGCTTCTGTGGCAATGCTATTGTAGCCGATCCACTGGCTGTTGCATTACCACTCTAATTGCGCATTCTCTGCCAGTACCCACAAGGAAGTCATTCATTTCTTCCTTTATTCTCTGGAAGCTGCCCCATGTGACTATTTTCTTGGCTTGAGGGGCGGCTCCAGCATGTTGAATGACAGCTCCCCACTCGTTCCTGCTTTCCGCCCCCTATTACTGCGTCAGCTTGCAGGGTGGCTCCAGCAGGGACAGTTTCATACAGACTTTTTTTGTCTCTGCTAGCTGCCCCATGTGACTCACATTGCAAGTGTGCTGCCAGTCTATTATGATAGAATGGAGAGAATGCTGCTGCAATGTTATCTGCAGATAGTGCCTTTAGGCCCTGTTCACATTAAGTGATTTGGAATTAAAATAAAAGTTTTGATCACATTTTGCTTCATTGTGGAAGTTTATGAACTGCTAGTATTTTATTATTCATTCACCTTTTGCACTTTGTATGAATAGTTAATTTTAGGTGCTGCATTCTCTATATACTTTTTTAGGATGGATCTAAGAATCTGCTAATTTAAAATGAGGAATTCCTTTTCGGTTTAACTCTGTTGGTTTACTTTTTTGTTTTTTTTATAGTTGGCCTATTGATCACTCAGTTACTTTGTTATTGAATCTAGAAATACTAGCATTTTTGGTATCGAACTTCTGATAAGATGTCATTCATTAATGCATCAATGATTGCAAGGTGTCATTACACCGCTGTGAAAATTCACTGGTCATGGCAACTGCTGATCAGTGTATTCTGACAGTGATGAATACTGCTGTCAGACTACAATGTTTTGGCTGGGGGGGACTCTTCCATTCACCTCATTTTGTGTGGATGGAGGAATCTGTTTTTTTTTTTTTTTATTCATTTAGCTTCGTAACTGTCTGAGTGTGCAGGTATAGGTTTCTAAATAGTTACCATTTCTAATCGTCTGAGCTACATCTGCTTTTCTGTGGGACTGTGGTAGAGAAGACCTCCCTAAAACATTGACCCAAGAACTTGAACAAGCCGCACATCAACAATTACAAGAAACATTATTTTCTGTTATTTTGGAACTCCTTGTGAGCTTAATTGTGACACTCAATCTGAAAGGTTGCACTCTACAACACTAAGAGACCAAACTTCCAAGGACATTTCAAAGACTGTTTCTATAACCTCTGAAAATAAAAGATATGCTGGCAAGAGAACCTACACTATATCACCTAATATGTGTGTGTATGTATGTATGTATTATTCCTCTGCTATACAGAGCAATACAAAGCAGCATGCTGGTGCTGACAAAGGAGAGATCTGTGTTTTTACAGACCTCTCTCCTGTCAGTGTTCCTCAGCAATCGCCGGATGCCGGCGGTAATCTCCCCAACAGCTGTAGCCACGCACCCCCTACCTGGAAATGCAGAATCGCATATATACGTGATTTTGCGCAGCCCTGTAGTAGTATTTGTTCTATAGGGCGGTCGGGAAGCGGTTAAAGTGTAATTCAACTCACTGATTTAACGATTTCCCCTCAAGAAAGCTCCAGTTAGAAATGTTCAGGAAATGCTACTGAATCCTGAATTAAACATAGTAATTTTGCTTTCTGCAGTGTTTTTATTTACATTCTGCTTCCTAGCGCATGAGCAGTGTGCTACATTCAAATAATGCCTCTGGAAGTAATTTTTACAGTTCACGTGTGTCAATGTCAGCTCAAATAGCTGGTGTCATAGGGGATCTTATGTGCAGTACCAAGGCAACTACCGAGCTAAATAGAGACAAAGATGGCACTCTCTTTGGCTGCAAAAGAATGGGGGGAGTTAATTCATCTTTAAAAGAAATACCAGACTAATAACTTTTTTTTTTTAATGGTCTTGTTTTACTAAGGCCAGCTTTACAGATTTGTGTTGTGGTAATGTGCATATTTTAACACGCTTTGCCACGATGCACCTACCGCATTGTCATGCCATTTAGTTTGGCACCCCAGTGTACTAAACCAACACATAACAAGCTACAACGCACAGTAAAATATTGCCTTGGTGTGCGCTGCATTTGAAATTGTGGAGGTGCAATTTTTTTTTTTTTTTTTTTTTAGCTCACAGATTTGAAGAGGGGCAAAATATGTGTTTTTTATAACTGAGACTGCCATTTTTTATGGTTTTTAGATAAATATATTTTAGAAGCCATTAATGTAGAAATCCACAATATTGAACTCTGTAATCACTAATGCATAATTATTCTTTTCTAAATTCAAGAAGTGTAAGTACCTGTTTCTAACTTGGTATCTGTCTCTTGTAGTCTACTGTACATTTTTTATGGCAGACCTCCAAAAGGAGTAGGAAGCAGCATTAGGGGTTATTTAGCTTTGCTGCAGTGCAAGAGTATACTGGTATAAGGAGAGGACAGTGACAAAAATGAGCTTTTCAGTCTGCAATTTCTGTCCTAGATTGTAAACTCGAAAGAGCAGGGCCCTCGATCCCCTCATGTTTTGCATTGTATTGTTGTTGTTCTGTCATGTTCTGTCCCCCTTTGTAATGTACAGCGCTGAGCGAACTATTGGCGCTTTATAAATACTGTATAATAATAAAATAATAATAATTCACAGGAAAAGCCAAGAAAGCTCATGTTCCCACTCCTCATAGACTCATAGACAGGCATGTACTGTACTGACAAATCTTTTCAAATCTCAGGACTGGATGGACAGAAGTACAAACCCTTAGGTGAAATACCGTATTTTTCACTCCATAAGACGCACCTGACCATAAGATGCACCTAGATTTTAGAGGAGGAAAACAAGAGAAAAATATTCTGAACCAATGGACTGCAGACAATAGTACAGGAGATGACCAGAGACTGCGGACATAGTACAGGAGATGACCAGAGACTGCGGACATAGTACAGGAGATGACCAGAGACTGCGGACATAGTACAGAAGACCAGAGACTGCAGACATAGTACAGATGACCAGAGGCTGTGGACCTTTGGAGTTGTCCAGCCCCCTCCCTCCCCGTAATCTTCTGGGACATGTGACAGGTCCCAGAAGACTGCGGGGCCATTCACAAAGCGCAGCGCTTCTCGTGCATGTGCAGTGCGCACCTGTCTGTGAAGCCAAAAGCTGTCACAGCTGGGTGTCCATTCCAGCGCCAGGGAGAGAAGACTGAGGACACCGCTGGATCGAGGAACAGGTAGGACTGCTGGAGGTCTGCAGGGAAGAGCCGAGCGTCCAGCCCGGTATTCTAACACGGGGGGATACCGGGCCGGCCGCTCCATATTCGTTCCATAAGAGGCACAGACATTTTTCCCCATTTTGGGGAGGGGGGGGGGAGTGTGTCTTAGGGATCGAAAAATACGGTAGCTCACATTTATGTATTCGATCTGTGTATATTAGAGTTCAGCTTTAAAAAAAACTAGGCCAGTTTATGGAACCCTTGCTATGACTATATTTGCATAATATATACTAATTGCATTTTAAATACTTTGTTAATTTTGTTTTAGCATTATTTAAACTCATGCAAAAAAAAAAAAAAATCTTAGATGGGCATCTTAGTGAACAAATATACCGGAATATAGGATATAGGTTTTTGATATGAGCACACCCAAACAGGTTGAACTGGATGGACTGTTGTTTTTATTCAACCTTAATAACTATGTAACTATGGATTGAGGCTGGGAGAGGGATGGTCAGCACAGTGATCCACTCAGATTTAACTGTTTTGTACAATGCTGTCAGTCCAATAATGTGGGCATTCTGAGTGAAGGATAGAGCACGGGGATCATTATCAGTGAGTTACTGCTCTTGTCCATTCATAATCTTGTGCTGGTCAGTGGCCATGAGGTATTGCTTAAATTAACCTGTGGCCAGGCTATGGACATTCAACCATTTACCATATTCTTTACAATTAGTAAACAAGCCATCAATTACCCTCTGTAACTGCAAAAACTATAGAGCAGTTCATCTTCAAGGCACAGCAGAAACTGTCTTACTCTGCTTCCTGCTTACTCCTTCCAAAGCATCTACTCTGTGCTTACACTAGAGATTGGAGAGCTGATAACAAACTAGTGACACAAGATATCACTGATGGAGGTTTGTTGCTGACATACAATTATCTAGTGCTGTAAACCCCAAACACTGTATCTACAGCAAGTAACAATGATTCCTGTATAATAAAGTATATAGCTTAAAGAAGTAGGCGCACAGGAGTCATGTTTAATAGAAATTCCTGGTGCAATGAATATGGCTGTATAAGAATTAGCTTGCAGACAGGTCTGGCCTGCACTGTGCACTTTCTGTAATAGTCACTGATTATTCTGCCGATCTGGTAACCTTATTGTATTGTATACTGCTGTGATGTTAAGTGACAGTTTGCACTGAGTGCTGCATTGTAGTAATTAAATAGAAATATGCACAGTTTGCACACAGTAAAGGTAATCTAAATATGTAACTGGGGGACAGAAGACAGCTTGGACTTCACAGACCTTATAAAAGACAGGTGACTGAGGCAAGGCAAGCTGTCCTTACCTTCCATTGATGTCTGTGTTCTTAATGTTTGTATGTGATAATTAGATCATAATTGCAAACCCATCATAGGCTCAGCATGGGGTTTATATCTTGCAGGGAAGTTTTCATGTGGTAGTCTGATTAGGAAACATGACTACATTTTCAAAGTGAATTACAAGAATGCTTGCAAAACCGTGCATAACCTATGTTCCCTAGTTCTAGTTCAATTAAGTGAAGCCGGTTCTTCCCTGTAACGTTGCCCATGGACATTAGAAAGGTGATTGGTTTTGTTATTCCTATCTGATCACTGAACGAGGTTTGAAACAGTTGTACATTTAACATAACAAGATAATTCACATTGAGTCAGTGTGTATATACGCTATATTTCTATGGGCCTATTTGGCCTTTCTGATTAAATATATCCAAAGTACAATCAGACCCACCCTGTCCTCCATGCTGCTGTAGCATTTCTATGGCCTGTCAACGTTTGGAACCTTTTTGCAGCTGGTAACCGTAGAAATAAATAGGTGACCCATTTCTCTGCAACATAACTGGTTAGTACATTTATTTATAGGGCCTTTGCCTGCCTGGTAACCTCAGTGCAAACGTTCCAAAGAGGCTGTAAAACACTCTCATGCCCTGAAGCTAATTATTCTAAATCTCCAAACCCGGCAGCATTTACAGTCTAGAGATGGACATCCGAGAGATATTGGGCATGCAGAAGCCCTGGCCTTCTAGATTGCAAAAAGTTGATAATCCATTCATTTCTAAGACCGGGGCCTACACAAGCCTAGTAGAGCTCAGATAACCAGCTCTAAAGTGGCTGTAAAGGCTTTTGGACAGTAAGTGGGTAAAGACTTGGTCTAAGCTAAATACTTATGTTGACAAAATTATGAAATTCACAAACTCCCATAGACATCGAAAACCTCCATTCCACTCAATCCTGAGAACCATTCTTCTGCCTGTATTTTACCCTGTGTAGACCAAAGCAAGGTTTGAATCTTTTTATCTCCCTTCCCTTTTACCCATTCCCTGCGATCCTCCCACTTTCCCCTCCCTTCACCCTCTCCTCCTCTACCCTCTCCTCCCTTTTTCCCTCATCTTCTCTTCTTTTCTCCCTTTCTTCCCAACACCCCATACCATTTCTTACTTGTTTTTGATTTTGATATTATAAAAATCAGTCTGATCTAAGTAGTAGTTTATTGCTGCCCCTCCCAGCACAAGTGGGTGATCAGTTGGCACCTCTGCTGTTGTTGTACTACATGTAGCCTTGCTATTCTATCCATCCCATAGCTCTTCAGTTGTCTTTAAAAATGGAAGTAGCTGACCCTCACAAGAGTTAGTAGAAAGCAAGTCAAGTGTTTGTTTCAGTAGATAGGACATTTGGGTGGGTATGCAGAATTTTTCTTTATTATTATTAAAGTTTTTTTTTTTTATTATTTTTTAACATTAATATTTCTGTTACCTTTTTCTACTTTGAAATGGATTCAAGGATTTTTCTTTTCAGTTGACTCTGAATTATTTCAATATTATCTGGAACATGAAAGACCCAGTTACTAATACTGACATATTTCCATAATCAAAGCTGGCATTTTTTTTTTAATGATGATGCCCAGGTCTTTAAAGGACATGTTTCGACTGACTCAGATGAGGATGCATCAGGTACATTTCCATCCCTTCTGTAAAGATTTCCTTTTGTTCACAAGAACAATAATGTCTAAAAGTCCCTGATACTGTGTTTAACTATGAAGTATGAAGAAGTTATTAATAATGAATCATGGAGTCTATGCAGGATGTTAAATAAAAGTGGGAGATGAAAATGTGTTAAATATAGATGAATTGCAGGCTTTTATGCAGCAGCCCTGAGAAGACTGAGGACTACGTAAAGGATTTGTGTTATTTCTTTTTCTTGCTGAAATGAGTCAAGTAAATCTTACTCACATGTTTGGCAACACAAGCTTATGTCTTTGGGAAATATTAATAAATAAGAATTTACTTATTTTCTTTTCTTATATATTTTTTTTTCCTAAATAATAGTTTAGGGTAGTTTATTCATATTCTAGTAATAATTTTGGAGCAGAGCACATTCAATGTTCATAACACAGAAGTGTTTTTGAAAGTGTTTACATTAAATGAGACTCTTGTTATCATTCTGCAGTCCCCAGAAGCCTGTTTGTAGTTTTTATAAACTGGGGTTTTTCAGCTGCTGAAGGGAGGTATAGAGTAATATGAACCCTAGAAGGGAGCTGGACTGGATCTCCAGGCATTACTTCTTTAAAAATGTAAGTGTAGCCTTACAGCTATGTAAACATTTAAATTACATATTTGTGAAACTTACCTGGCAAAAAATTGTAATTCTGTTTAGCTAGTTTTTCTATGCTTCTGCCAAAAACTATACAAAGTCTTGCCTGTGGTGATAGTGAAGTCTGACAAATTCCAATCTGTGTGGAGAGAATGAGGGAGTGGTACTAAACACACTGCCATCCTCATTTTCCCCATATTTTAAAATTTTGTACCAAGACGGTCAAATCAATCAGTTTACCACCTCCAAACTTACTTCTCAGGTCTTCTGGATCAAGGTGTAATTTTTTTTCCAGTGGTGGAACAATTGTAGATGGGTTACTCCATCCTGTACACTATTCCCAATAACAGTGGGGCATGTGCCCCAGCTTTCAATATCTTCATTCAGGTCCAGAAATTTTATGTTGAATATTCCAAATCTATTGTGGTCATTCACCAAGAAAACATTGATTTCTGTGGACATCAAGGGTGTGTACATGGCTGTGTCCATCTTCCTAGAACATGTACATTTCCTACATTTTCCTGTGGGATACCTACACCACCAGTTTGTGACCTTGCCCTTCAGCCTCTGCTCTGCACCTGTATTAGTCCTGCTATGCTCTTGTGGCATTCCCAATTTGGGATAGTTAAATTACCTCCTCTTAAAAAACTGTCTTTGTGGGCTCTATCGGACAATGTGACTTTGACTGCCCAGAAGCTGCAGTGGACTTCAACAGGAGAAACTTCAAACTTGAGCTTTCTGTTCCAGTAGTCGCCTAACTCTCTGCTTTTTGCTGAAAAGTCTTGACCTGACTGTAGCCTCTTTTGAGGTTGTCCCATTTGGTCCGTTTCACTCCAGACCTCTTCAATGCAGCTTTCTGTCATCATGGGACAAGTCAATTGGGTCCCTGCATATATCAATTTTGTTAGGCACGGAGGATCTGTTTGTCTCTGGCCTGGTGGCTCAGGAAGTGGGCTTTGTCATCAGGGATTTTCTTCCTTTCCTAATGGAGGATTCTCACAATGGATGCCAGCCTTTTGAGGTGGGAAGGAGTTTTGGCATCCTGTGGATGCAGGGAACTTGCTCATCAGAGTCTCCTCTTCCGATCAGCATCCTGAGAATTTGGGTGGTTTGGCTGGCTTCCATTGTTGGTCCATCCTGTTGGAAGGTCTTTTGATCCAGATTCTGTCAGACTATGCCATGTTGGTGTATATCAACCACCAAGGAATAATCAGAAGTGTTTCCACACTAAGACAGGTAGTTTTGATCCTGTCCTTGGCAGAACTAAAAGTTCCAGTTGTTTTGCCTATACACCCCAGGCGTAGACAATAGGCAGTCTGATTTCCCC